CACTTTTCAGGGGGAAGGTTTTCAAATAAAATGTGACTACAAATCTATAAATGCTTTTAACATCTGCACATTGAATTATTGTTTCAAATGTTTTTATACTCACATAATTTTATTTAATATTCACAACCATTCTGTGAGAGCTTTTATTCTTTTATAGGGTTTTCTTATTTTACAGATTGGGAAACTGATGTAGAGCAGTTAAATGACTTAAGATTACATAGCTAGTTATAAGTGGAAGGATAAGAATTTGAAGGAACAGGTGTGGCCTCTTCCAGGAAACAGTATAAATAGTCAGACTTTATGAAGGATAAATTGGTAAGGAGAGTCATTTATCTCTCTTGTCTGTAAAGAGGATTCTTTTTCTCAAGTAGAGTGTGAAGTAGATTATTTACTAGAAAAGCTTGAAAATGCTTTTCTGAAAAGCATTTCAGAAAATTAAAACTGCTTTGAAATTGGGTGCAATAAGAATTGTTTCAGAGCCTGGCATCTGTTGGGCATTATACACATATTTTCTGTGTCAGTAAGGTTTACAGTTAAGGTCTCTTAAATCCTTATTTGCTGAAATCTCTTTTTGCTTATATATTGAGACTGAAGTTAGCAATTTTCCTCCAGGTGTGGACTTTGAAAATAAAATATACTTATTGAAATGTAGGTTGCATTATAGTGATGCATTTATATAGTACTGCCCTCCAGGATTCTTGGAAACTTAAGCGTATTATTGTATATATGAATCATGGAATGCACTCTAGAATCTATATTGTTTATCAGTTTTGTTTTAGGTGTAGTTCATGGTATTTACTTAAGTCTCTATAGCAAAGTTTAGGATCTCTGCATTTCAGTTACCTGAGTGCTGTGGGGCTACAGACCCACTCAGATTCTCTTGTTCTAAGTGATCTTAACACTCAGTTAGCTCTGTGTGTTGGTGGTGACAAACGTTACTGTATTTATGACCTAGGTCTTCCAGTGGACACAGTTTCAAGAATCCAAGAAGGTACTGGCTACTATGATAAACAAAAGTATCCATTCATGCATCCCAGGATTTTAATGTTACCTTCACCCTCCACTCAAAATTCAATATGCATTTAGTCCATAATAGCACCACTCCATCTTAAGTGAATAGTTGTTTCAGCTTTGATCTATAATCACAAGGTAAATTATCCTTGTTTGCCTAGGACTGTCCTGGTTTTTAAATTCAGAATCTCTTGTCCAAGGAACCCTCTCAGTCCTGCATAAACCAAAACAGTTTCTTAAAATACTATTGAGGACAATTGGTCAACCTAATGGCAAGGCTGTGTTGTTAATTAGGCTTTACGCATGTTATTGAGACTATAGATAAAAGCCCGTATCAGTGGTTTTGAAGATTCTGCGTGTGTCAGGATTACCTGGAGTACTTGTTAAACAGACTGCTGGCTCCCATCCCTCTGGTTTTGATCCAGTAGGTCTGAGGTAGGAGTCTGAGAATTGCTTTAGTAACAGTTGCCTTAGCCATGTTGATGCCTCTGGTTTGGAATGCATTGAGAACCACTGGCCTAGATCAAGCCGTGTACTGTGTGAGTATATGATGATGCTTGGTTCAGAATTATGGAGAAGGGGATCTGTGTTTCTCTGCCTCACAGACCTAAGCACCAACAACACCAAAGGGTATTTTGTGTGTCTGAACTGTGGTCATACAGCAGAAAAAAAGATGTGTTCCTGTTAGAGGTGACAGAAGTAGGGGAAGGGTTAAAAACAGTCTAGCTGCCACATCCTTTATGGGATGGATATATTTTGACAGTTTATAGTATCTTAGGCAAACTTTCATTTGACAATTAATTTGAGTCTTATAGTCACAATATCTGAAATGGATACTTCAGAGAGCAGATATTCATTATTGCAGCAGAACTGATGATAGCTGTGTTTAGCAGGGATAATGGTACCCATATTGCCTACTTCTCAGTTATCGTTATAAAAATCCAATTACATAAAAGTTATGAACATGCGTACAAGTAAGATGTCACAGTGATGATTAAAGTGTACTTTGCTATTGGGCAATATGTTTCACACTGCTTTCATCTTCATGTTGCATTTCATCGTTTTCAGGTGTCCTCAGAATTCAGGCAAGAAGTTGGGACTGCAGATATTACCATTCTCTGTGACTTCTGTCACGGTCTTCCGGACTTCAGTTTGCCAGGCTTAGATGTCTTCAGAGGTAGTCACCAGGTACTTGGTTGTTCCTAGACAGTAGCTCGTAGACCTAATGGCTTTCTGTGATTGGGCCTGCCTGATCAGAATTTGGTATGTTTTCCCACTGATTTAAAATTGTTTTGCCTAAGCCTCATTTTGTGTGTAAAGTAAACAAAGGCAAAAGAGTAAATGCTGTACTCATAATCCACAGCCAGCTGGTAGTAACCAGACTGTAGGGCTCTTGAGTCTGGTCTAGTCTCAACCTTTTAGGCAGTGAGCATTGTTAATCGCAGAACAGGCTCTCCTTGGACTCCTCAGCTTGCTCGTCTTTGTTTCTCCCAGGGCCCAGTGTTCAAACACGCATACACACATACTATATACATTTCTGCGTGTGTGTGTGTGTGTGTGTGTGTGTGTGCGCGCGTGCATGGTAGGAAAACCAGAATTTGTTCTCAGCTCCTTACCTGTGTGAGCTTAGCCAAATCGTTTCCCCAATCTGTACCTTCTTTTTCGTGTGTAATATAGAATTATTATCTGCCCAGCTACTAGCCTTAAAAGTAGTTACTGCATAAGGACAAGAAAATGTATAAAAGCACTTTGAAGCTTTTGTTACAAAGGGCAGTTAGTAATACTGAGTAAATGATAAATAAGCCTCATAGAACAGGAAGCATTTTCATCTTTCTGTCCTAATCACCTTTTTAAATAAAGTAAGCTATTTTGTAAATCGTTCAAGTGGATTGAGTTTATTAATTTAGGTAATGTTTTCTTTTTCTTTTTTGTCTCTGTTTATTTAACATTGGGTATATAGAGAATGGTAATTATTATTGAATGCATTGGAAACAAGAATAGAGTCTCTTTGGGGGTGCCTGTTTTTTTTTTTTTCTTGTATTTGGTGGTATTTTCTGCTCTATGGTCAGTTTTCAGTGGTTTGTGAGTTCTTGCTTTCTGTCAAGTGTTTTCTCCCTGTCATCACAGTGCCACTACTCTTTGTATTTACCTTCCCAGCTGCCCTGCCTTATTTCAAAGTTCAGAGTCAAATTGTAGCTAGTCATTTCTGAGCAAGTTCCTAGACACCGCTGAATTTCAACTAATTAATAGATTGCTTTTAAGGGATGTGAAATCTAGGCCAATTCAGAATTTTACTTCATTTGAGCGTTTTTGTTTTGTTTTGTTTTGTTTTTTTCAGAATATTTATCTTAAGTTACAAAATGTTGCTTCCTGTTCATTGTTTTCTTATGTATTCTCGTAAAATTTTACAAACCCAGTAAAACTCTCTAACAACAATACTGTTGGGAGATAACAGCTTGTATTCATTATGGATTGTTCACACAGGAAGAGATGTATTTAGGTATCTAACTTGTTTTTAGCATTGTACTTGAGACATCTGTAGTAGGATAGAATCTTTGGCAAATGTGGCATAGCGTACATTGTATATGGATATTCATAAACTGCCTTTGATAGATTGATTGACAAACATTTCCAGTTACTGAACCAGTAGCACTATTGCAGTCAGTAGCTCAGTAATCGTTTTTTTGTCTGTACAGCAGATTGTATGTATGCGTGTGTGTTTTGCCTATTTTTATCAAGATGTGTTAAAAGTAAAATGCTAATGCTAATAATCAGAAAATTGACCTTCAAATATGTAATATATTTTTGACAAAGATGGAAATCATGGAGCATGCCAAAAATGGTAACCCTTTAGCTTCAGCTATCCGCTCACTAGATTTGACCTTTTTACTGTGTGTTATTATAATGAAAGATTGTATCTAGAAGATATTTTGTAACGATAGAAGGTATTTTATAAATAGGATTTCCTGTGACATGTACTTAATTATTCAACTTCTGTACGTTTAATTTTCATGTTTATTCAAGAATATATTATACAAAGTCACAGCATTTGACAATTCCTTCATAACTCTGAAGAAAAGATTCTATGTATTGTTTGTGTGAATTAAATACAGTGGCTCTGATAAAAATGTCTTTAGATTAATCTTAAAAAAATAAACTAAGAAGAGGAAGGTAAATTAAAGGGGAAATTTGGAGACTTGTAGTAACTGGTTCATTGCAACTTAATGTGCAGCATCCTCATTAGTCAAGCATCATATGCCTACCTGGACATGAAATAGCTATTTTTTTTTCCTAATTTAAATCTGGAAAGTTTCAATTGTAGAACAGTTTGAATAGTTGTTGTAAATAGCCACTGGACTTTTTAAAAAAGTATTTGTCTTCAAAAACAATGAAGGTCATCTTGTATCCATAGAGACCACATGCACTTTCCTCATTATTTACAACATTATTTATATAATGGGTAGAGTTATTTACAACATTAAAAAATATTTCAGAGATCAGCCATTAAGTATTATCACAGGGTAAATAGCAACTGAAATCCTTTTCTCCACAGTTTCTCAAAAAACTTGGTATTAGGAAATTAGTAGCCTTTCAGAATTTGTATGTTGTTTTTTTTTTCAGTAGTTATTCTGTAGAGTGTGTGTGTACATATGCATGCTCATATATGTATGTATGTTCATTTCTTCTAAATCACTGTGACTTAATTGTGGACTTTGTTTTAATAGTTTTTCTTTCCTCAAAGAAAGTTACTTTACATGTTTATTTTTATTTTTTTGAGACAGGGTGTCACTCTGTCACCCAGGCTGCAGTGCAGTGGCACAATCTCAGCTCACTGCAGCTTCTGCCTCCCAGGCTCAGGGATCCTCTTACCTCAGCCTTCTGAATAGCCGAGACCACAGGCTTATACCACCACACCCAGCTAATTTTTTCATATTTTTTTAGGGATGGGGTTTTGCCACGCCGCAGAAGGCTGGTCTTGAACTCCTGGACTCAAGCAATCCCCCATCTACCTGCCTGAGCCTCCCAAAGTGCTGGGATTATGCCACTGTGTCTGGGAATTTTACATGTTTTAAATTAAAGCAAATCTTGGTTTTTGATGAAGTGCTGATTTACTTATATTTCACTTAGTCTTTCTTTCAGAAAAGTTGTGTGGAAATAAAATGGTTTTAGTATATTGCTTTATAAACAAATTCAAAGTCATGAGCTCTTTTTATTATCCTCTTTGCTTTGCTCATTTCCATGAACTGTACATCTCTAACCTAAATCAGCTGTGGATAGGGTAAGAAAGCATTAGATTCTTACTCAGTTTAGATCTTCTGCCAGGAAAACCGACTGTGTCCATTGTCATCTAAATTAACACTTTTTTAAATAAAAGGAGTCACTTTTAACAGTAATGTCAGGGCAAAAAGTATACATTAGATGTATGGTCATTCTTATCATTAGGATTATCATTCTAATGTGTTGTTTATTATTTTGAAACTCTAGGGAGAGAAAAACTCATTTTTTCTTATGTTAGAAAAATGTATCCTTGTGTAGAATATCAAGGTAATATCTTTAATGTTTCTTATTTACCAAGATAAATTTGTAATGCATATTTTCTTTTTAAATTAGCTTATTTAGGAGAAATTGCACTTGATGAATCATTTACTCTCTTTTCAATTAGTAACATTAACTTTATCATTTTTGTTTCAAGATGTCACAGCTGTTGTTCAGCACTAGAAATTATATAAATTATTAGCCGAAGATGATGACTGGCAACATTTATGTCTGTTCCTTCTGTTAATTTCTTGTTCAGAAAGTCTGTTGTTGTAAACATCCCCGACTGGAAGCTGTAAGATACAACTAAGCTTTCAGTCAGATGTTTGCTGCTACCGGCTATTCACAGACATCCTCTTGATATAATTCTATCCCGGAGTGGAGTTGAAGAGGCTATAAAACGTGGAAAAACCTCAGAAATCTTTAGCTGTCTTCTTTTACTGCACTGACAGTGCATGTATTATGATAGTTGAATGTAGGGTGCTCTCCTAATAACAGGATACACCATCTCAGCTTCAGAGTTAGCGTGCTGCTGCTGGGCCTTAGAGAATTTAGTAGTTAAGTAAAAATTGTCCCCACTTATTCCTGTTTCTTCCCTGTCAATGAAACTTTATTCTTTATAACCTTTCCAAGTAGGCTGGAGTTTAACTTCCCAACAGTTCAAGAAACTGATTTTCTCCATTATGAATTCTGTAGAAGTTCTGGAGAATAATTTAATCACTGCCACCCAGCAGTATGCAATCTAGAAATTTCACCTTTCCCTGTACTTAAGAAATGTGTGTGCAACATTTTTCTTGCTCCTCTTAGCCCCCCACTTCCTGTTCTTCTCACCCTGAGTGATGTCACAGCTCCTAATCAGAGCTCTCCTCTAAGAAAAACTGCAAGACGTCAACCACTAAGCCTGTTTACATTTGCTAATGGTTATGCTTGTCTTTTTAGATTAATATATTTTCCTAAGTGTTTTCAGATTGTTGCTTTCAGATTGATTGCTTCCTCCTTAAAATATAGCTGCCCTGTAATCAGCTGCGTTGTATCTCCTTTTTGTGTTTCCCCACAGATCTAAATACTCCAGGGCTTTTCTCATAGATGGCATTCAGTGTGGACTAATTGATCATGTATAATTTTATGACAGCTGTTTTCTTAGTTTTAAACATTTGTTTTTCTGTCTTTTAGATGCTGGAAAACGTTTCTATTTTATTGACATTTTTCTTATTGGCATTTTTCTTTTCAATAAAGCATTTTTTAGAAATCATTTATTATTATTAAACTGTTAGACATCATACTAAGGTTCAGTACATAATTAACCCAAAAGATAAAGGTCTTGCCAATCTAATTTTTTACATGCTTATTTTCTTTGATTAGATTATAAGCTTCCTGAGGACAGAGACATTAAATCTTGGTAATTCTATTTTTTTTCTATCATAAACATCAGGTGAAGCACCTTGCATGTATAGTACTTTAGTAATGATATTTGTATTATCTTATTGCAGCAGTGTTCACTGTTTCCTTTTATCTTTTATCCAGATGACCAAAGGACAGTTTTGGTCATAATGTAGTTACCCCAGATGTATTTGTGCTACAACATTTGTTTTTTAAATACTCCTTTGTTAGAGTGGTAGTTTACAAGACTTATTTGGGGACGGGGGATAGTTGCTTCAGACTCAAGTAGCTTTCCAGCTTGTAAATATAATTTTCAGACTTGATGATTAGCATGCATCAAGCATCCCTTCCTCTGAACCCTTAATAAAGCAGACTTATTGTATATTCTGTGGCCCTCTGTTTTAGCACATTGGAAACCTTAGACTCAAATAGCAGCGAATGGATGGAGTTATTACTGAGAGCTCAGAAGTGTTCCCTGCCGAAGGTAGAATGTAATGTGTTCTCTAGTAATAGGATTATTTTGTTTGACCAGGTGACACTGTTTATTTCTTATGAAAAATTTTCATATATAGCTTTAAAGTTTAGTAAGATGGGTAGAAACTGCATAATTTAGTAATTTATACAGTGAAATTGGAAAGGTTTTTCAAAATGGTAAGGCCAAACCTAAGCTAAAAGATGGGGTAGGCATTCTTTCTAGTAAAGCTATTATATTCTGCCCAGCTAGGCCAGTTATCCCTAGATGCTGCAGGATTGATGGGGCGATCTGTGTTATGTAACATTTGTTCTATATTATTCTGCCCTAATGAGGTGAATCAAAGACCATGTCAGCTTTAATTCTGGATACCCTTGCTTCAGTGTAGTATAATACGCAAGTACAACCTTTTTTAGTAGTTTTCAGATGACTTCTTTATGTTTTTAAGTTGAAAAGCCACTAACTTCCCATTGGCCTATAAGGTTAGCAATTGATTATTTATAGCAAATGCCTTGAAATGTTAGATAAATCAGTATTTGTCAGTAAACCTGTAATAACTTGTTTCCTTAGCCCTTAGTATTTAGGAAAAAATTGTGATATTCATTGATAGGGCTTAGAAAGCTCAGAAATTATTTATTACTTGAGATTTGTTGAACCAATTGGTAAAACATTTTTAGTTACTGAACACCATGCTGCAAATGACAGTATTTTATCCTTAGTATATGGTCTGAAATCACTTAGGGACTACTTCTTTTTAAGCAAATAACTAACTACAGAATTAAGTCTTCAAATTTATTTCAAACTAAATGCTTTTGTACAAATATTCTTGGTTAGAAAATAGTCATATAACTACACAGTTGGACATGTTCTCATTGATCTCCACCCCTCAGTTCCTTCTACATGAGTCATGGGCTTGAGGTTACCCAGAAGTGGACTGTGAACCTATAAACCCTATCTGACTTTGATCGCTTCTACTCTTGTTAGAGCTTTATTCATTGGATGAATGTGCATTATTTGCTGTGTGTGTGCTCAGGGAATATTTTTTGTTTCTTTTTTAAGTTTGGGTATCAGTTTGGGCTTAGTTACTTTTTAAAATTATGCTGTTTCAGATAGTCTCTGCCACACTCTACATGGCCTGGTTAATTGTGGTTGGACTCATCCTATTTTGACATTGCCTTTTGCTTATCTATAGCATATTTACAAACGTTCTAATAATTTGACATTCACTGCTGTCTTTGCTTTGGCTTTTCAACAAATTTGGTGAAACAGTACATTGCTTTTCAATATCAGCTTGCATCAGAATTACTTGGAGGGCTTATTGATTAAAACACAGATTGCTGGGCCCTGCAAAAAAAAGTTTCTGATTTAGTAGGTCTGGGGTGGAACTTGAGAATGTGCTTTTTTTCCCCACAGTTCCCAAGTACTGCTGATGGTGCTCCTCTAGGCCCATGCTTTCAGAATCGCAGAGCTCATCTTACATTCTTTTCCTGTTAGATATTATGCTCAATTAATACATTAAGTAAAACAGAGAAAAATCCTTAACTTAAAAACATGTTGTAATCCAGAAGTTGGATTATAAAAAAAGTTTGTTGGAAACATGAGACCATTTTTTCTCTCACAGAAAAAATATATTAATTGTCTAGCTAGGAGGGGCCTATTTGAATGTGTTTTCAGAGAAAAGCAGAAGAAAAAAATTTGGTTGTAGTAGTAGTTAAAACAGAAAAAGAAATATGCTTGTGGGGGGAGATAGTATATGTGTATTTAATTTTGAGAACCAAAGCTTCTGGAAAACACCTCGAAGGGGACAAGAGGCCAGGTAGAGACGTTCTAGGTTCCTGAAAGTCCTGGGATGCCTCTGAAATGCTAAAGATTTTTAAAGTTTGCTGGCAGTGGTTATTATATGTAATTTTACTTACAGATTTGAAGATTCCCTCTTCTTTGACGTAAGTGTATTGGTAGGACCACTGGTAATAGTTAGTAGGGGTATTTGTGGTAATGTATTTTTAATCAGAAAGAATGCAGAAAGAGGGGGAGACATTTCTTTGAGACACCTTAATGACACTGGGAACAGTAGAAGGTGGAAAGAGATCAGAGTGTGGGAAAGATGTGCCTGAGATGAAATTATCTGAATTCTGAATGTGGGGGAGAAGATGAGGGAGAGGGTTGAGGGGGAGGAGAGATGACTAAGCTCCTCACAGTGTTTCATTAACTGTCTTTTACCTAAAGCAGGAATCTTAATGAAGATGGGTGGATGCATCATACTGGTCATCAAGTAAGTTCTTATAAATGCGAGTTTGATTGTTTTGAAGGGAAGGATATAGGAAGGGTGGACAATTGCTACATTTAGATATGGAATGCTACAGGATGTCTGCATTTATTGTTGTAAATTCCTTTGGTGAAAAGAGTATTACTTCTTTGTGACTAGCGTGGGCAATATCATGAGACCCTCTCTCTAAAAAAATTTTTTTAATAAGAAAAATTAGCCATAGTAGCATGCCTGTAGTGCCCCCCCCACCCCGGACAGCCCCCCTCAACCAAAAAAAAACACCCAGCTTACTTCTGTCTTTTCCTTGGATTATACACTTTCTCTCAGGGTATCTTTCTCGTTGACTCTTGCCTCATTTATGTGAATGCTGTACCTGTTCTTTTTTTCAACAGAGTCTTTGGTAAAGGACCATATAAACTTGGTAAAGAGTTTAAGTCCTGCTTTAAACCGAGTTTCAGTTCATGTAAACATCCTACACTCAGCTGTAATACATGGATTGGCTGAGAGGTGGATGTTTACTTCAGCTGACTTGGAATACCAACCAATTAACATTGATAAAAGGTTTGGCAAGAATAGTATACAGAGGCCTGAATTTTTAATGTAATTAAAGGTTTGTTGGAAATGTGAGACCATTTTTTCTTCCAGAGAAAAAGTGTATTAATAGTCTAGCTGGCAGGGATCTACTTGAATATGTTTTCAGAGAAAAGCAGAAGAAAGTATGGTTACACTGGGAGTAGTTAAAGCAGAAAAACAGTATGCTTGTAGAGGAAAAACTTAACCTAAATTTATTAAAAATGTATTAAAATTGCTTTAAATTTGTTAATTTAAATTTTTATTGTATCTTTTCAGTTTTGTTATTATACCACCAACATAACATACAGCTCTGGATATTGGGACAAAAGGCCCTTCTTTGGTAGTTGGGGTCAGATTTGTAGGTATTGCGGTGTGTTTTAACAAGCATGGGCTTTGACAGCAGACACGTGTTGCCATCTGGACTCCACAAGTGAATTTGCTACGGGATTTGGAGGAGGGACAGGCAGTGTTTCCATACCTCAGTGGTTTTCTCATCTGCAAAGTAGGTATGGTGGTTGCCTGGATTGACTAATAAGGTGAATATAAAGTAGGGTTCATTTGTATAGTACCTGTCATATTAAGTACTCAATAAATGCTATTATTAATGCTAACTGTGTTTTAGGTGTTCAATAAATAGTTGCTGTAATACTTAAAGCGGACATAACTTGTGTTTATTTTAGCAATAAAGATGATGCCAACTTTTTGGTTTAATGGAAATGCTTTGAATCTTTGATATTATTGTAACATAGTGGCCAATAATTATGAAGCCCAGCTTCTGGAGCTCATGTGCTGATTCTGCCAGTTACTTAGTTGTGTTACTTTGGGTGAAATTATTAATCTCTCTGTGTCTCATTTTCCTCAGTCCACTAAATTGGATTTATAATGGCACCTGCCTGATAGGGTTGTCGATACTAAAGGAGTTAATTTAAAAATAAGCTAATACTTGATATAAGTATTGTTTGGTCTAAATGTTATTTCCATTTTCATGCCTTTATTTAAAATACTGAAAATTAATTTTTTATAGCTTTGTTTTTCAGTTCCATGAAATGAGCCTGCCTTTTCATTTTTTGGTGATGCATCCACATTCTGTATAGGTAAAAAGCAAAACAAACAAGCATAAAAGGAAAATTATGTAAGAAGTATACACATCCCAGCAGCTTGGCAAGTATCTGTATGCTTTTGCCTATGCTTAAATCCAGAATTAGAATTCATGTTTGGTGCTCCAATGGAAGATGTCTAAATATTATGAGAAATACATGATTAAATAAAAATGTGAAATGAAAACGTGGAGAGTTATTGTTGAAGGTGAGTACTGTTTTTCTAATTATGTATTTTATTTGTTTAATAAATAATTTGTTATTTTCTTTGTTATTAGGAGGGAGCTATTTTATTCTGTGCTTGGGTGTAAAGCATACTACATTTCAGTGAGCTCCACATGTTAATTTGAAACTTGCCAAATGCTTACATTATTTTATAATTTATAGCACTTCAGGAAACATGTTGCAATGCTGTAACAAAGCATATAATCTAAAGGTAGTTTTATGAAGTGTTTTTCTCCCAAATTAAGCATATTTGGAAATTGCCCATCAATTTGTTTTTGAACCTCAGTGCGTAAAATATGGAATTTTTCTTTCATATGCTCAGATGTGAAAAATACTCAGCATATGCCTGTGGTTTAGGCCACAAAATGGCCGGTAGGTTAAATTTCTAATTCTAATGTTTAATGCATTGCCTTTTTCCTTCTGGTTTAGTGACCATATGTTTATATCTTTATGTTACATACGTTCCTGATGATATAATAAGGTCTTTGATCATGTGGGCTATCAGGTTTGCCTCACTTTGTCTCTTGGAAGAAGCTATACATGAAACTATAGTTGTACTTCAGTGAAAATTTGAATATTTTTCTTGTTTGAATTAATGCAATGAAACATTCTAGTTGCAGTTAGCTGTCTCCCACCCTTACAGGAAGGTACATGCCTCCATTTTTTAAAACACTGTATATTTATTAGAATTGTTACAGAATTCTAGTAAACATTCTGATCACATATTTTCTGATTAATATGTGCTTATCAGTTTTAAATATGAAATCTGGATATATGTTAAAATATCTCAGTTTTTCCCCCTTGTTTACCATATTGCAGTTTATTATTAATGGAGAACATAATGTAAAATTGGATGCCTTTGATAATTTGGAGATGTGTTCTGAAATTAAACTTGAACTATTTTCTGTGAATTTTGAAGATTTGGTATCTTATAATTATTTGGTGAGCCTTTGGCATGAATTATTTAGCTTCTCCCCTGTTTCACGATTTCTTTCTCTTCTCATCAGTTTCCAATAGGAGAATGTTATGGTTCTAAATGTCTCCTTTAGACTTCATTAATTGAAAAATGTCAGTTAAGATATAGGGGTAACCTGTGATAAGTAATAGAGTTTATCTTTTAGTTATATTCACTTCAGGTTTTTTAAATGATTTTTTTAGATAAATGTCAAAGTATTACTGCAAAATATTATACAATATTATAATAAGCAACTAACCTCTTCATTGATAATGGCTTAATATTGAGAGGGTTTTTATTCTTGTTTTAAATTCCGGGTTAAAATGTAAAGGTCTTTTTATTTTTTTAATTTTAATTCTTCACAAAGTTACCAGTGCATTATAAAACCGAACAACAATTTCACATTTAGAATGTTTACATGTATATAAATTAGGATTTTTTTTTTTATATTTGCCTTAACTTCCTTTAACTTTTATGGAAAATCACTAGTCCCAAGGGTATTTTTACTATTTAAACACATTATTCCTGTGATTCAAAATAGCAGTAGAACCTGTTGAGCTACTTAACTTTCTGTCTTGGGACTATCCAGGTGCAGTTATAACTGGTTTCAAAGTTGTGACCTTTTCCTTGCTTGTTTCAAAATCGTTCCTTAAAATATGTTCAGTATTTTTTCTTTTGTCTAAAAATATTTAAAAACAGGATTTGTGGGTTGTTTTGTTTTTTAAAATTAGTTTGAGAAAGTTCCTTTGCCACTTGTTTTCTGTGCAAATGTTGTAAGAACTCAAATTCTCTGGGGGCAGGGAGGACTTTATAAGGTTTTTTTGGTTGAAGGGTATAGAAGGTACTTAAAGGTGTTCAGTTGCCTTTATTTGGATAACCCAATCATTTTGACATGATAAGCTTTCCCCACTTTGTAGGTTATCCGAAAATTTAGTGGGGGGCAAGTATCTTGTTTATATTTAATATCACTTAAAACTACTTCCTATGTCAATAGCACATACAAAAAATTATCTCCTCTTTGTAGTCAATAGCACAGTCAGTTATTTTTCAAGTAAAGGTATGAGTATGAATGAGAAAAGTTTGTGGATTGGGTATTGTCTGTCCTTCATATTCAGATAACTTGCTAACTGTTTGGTCATTCAGTCTATAATATTAAACTTTTTTAATGTTATAAATTCTTCAAATCAGTATCTCTATTAAATGCAGTGACCAAACTATGTCTTCAAAACTGATAGAATGTCATGATTAGATGTGCAGAAGACTATGTTACATGGATAATAAATGAACCTTAAACATACAGAAATTAATGTCAGATTAAGCTAAAACATTAAGCAAAGTTCATACAAGTTTGCATACATACATATATATTTATTTATTTATTAATGATATGTGGAGAATCTTTGTGTTTCATAGTCACTAGATCAGAAGCAGTTGTCAAGAATGTCTGACTGCTATTCATCCTGTGGCCAAAGTAAATTTCAAATGTTTTTTTCTGAATGGTTTTCTTTAGTCTCTTTATTCATCATTACAAGTCTGTCAAGTGACACATGTCCTTCTCATTCCTGGTGCTTCCTGAGGAGGCAGTTCAGTGCAGGGGAAGGAATATTATTAGAGATAAAGGGAAAAACCAGAAGTACTTTCTTCTACTCTCATGTTCCACTCAACACAACACTTCTCTCACCAAATGTGTGTGGGGATTTCTCTCCACCAACAACCAGCAGTTCTTTACTGCAGATTTTCCAATGGATACCAGCCAGGTGTCCTCTAATTCAGTTCAATTCTGACATCATCTACCGGAAGATAGTGTCAGATCCCACACGTGGATGGCTCAGTCCTACAAGACTATCCCTTACTTTGGATCTCTGTCACAAGCAGTTAGTGGTTTGTGATTCTGACCAACTGGCTAGAAATCAGGGGTCCCATGATCACCTCCTCAGGTGTGATTAATTCGCTAGAGCAGCTCACAGAGTTCAGGGAAACACTTTATTTACATTTACCCATTTATTATAAAGGATATTGCAGAGGATGCAGATGAACTGCCAGAAAGATGAGAATAGCACAGGACAGGACACTGAGAAGGGTCACGGAGCTTCTGTGCCTTCTCCAGGTACACCACCCTCCAGGAATAGTTCATGTGTTCAGCTGTCTCAAAGCTTATTCGAACCCTGTCCTTCTGGGTTTCTGTGGAGTCTTCATTATGTTAGGGCTCAGAAACCAGTACCCCAAAACATGGGACTTTGACATGCTGAATTAAAGAAGCAGCCCCAAGACCTCTTGACCTTCTCCAACTCCCTTCACCCAAATTGTGTGTCTCCGAAAGCACAGTATGAGGCTGTTCACCAGAGTTCCCTTATTTACCTAGAAACTGGACTCCCAAAGAGGAACACAGTTGCCTGCGATTCCGTCCCTGAAATTTCATTAACTAGAGAAGATTAAACTCATATCACAGAGGAAGAGACTGAAAATTAAACACCACACCTGGAGCGCAGATGACCTGTCCCAGTCTATTATCTGTTCTCCAGTCGCATTTACAAACTATTGTCTGATCTTCAGGCCCATTTATTTATAGCTCTCCCACTTTCCCCAATGAAAAGGATATTTAAGAGTCAGCCGTCTATCTGGCCCTTTCTTTTGAGTTTTGAGTTTTCACATTTTGTATGACTCCTGTGCACACACATGCATGCAATCACTTTGTTAGGATTTTCCTTGTTAACTTTTTTTTGTTATAGGGGTATCTGCTATGGTTATATATGATGGGGAGGAAAGGGATTACTTCATTTCTGCCCCTGCAGTCTGTAGGCATAATTGATACACCAGATTGCTGGTGATTAGCTTAATCTTCAAGCCCTGTCCTGTCGCTGGAAGTTGGAGGGTGGCCCTGAAAGCTCCAACCTTCTCATCATCCTTTGATCTTTCCAGTGACCAGACCCCACCCTGAAGCTATCCAGGGTTACTCAGCAACATTCATTTCATTAGCATGCAAATAACATTCTTACAATTTTAGAGATTCCAAGGGCTTTAGGAAATTGAGATGAAGAGCAAATATATATTTCACAATATCACAAACATACTTTCAGGAATTAGACTTCTGATCTAATCTGTGCTCCCTCACTTGCCATCTTCGTGACCTTGAACAAGTTGTTCAACTTTTCTGGATAGTTCTGTGTTTAAAAAAAAAAAAAAAAAATTGAAGGAAAGGCTACATCATGTTGTTATGAGGACTAGATAACTATGTGATGGACCCTGCACATTGCTAGCAACAAAAGGTAAGTACTATTTCTATTTATTTTGCTCCCAAGCTTATGTGAGCTCCCTCAGTGTCTACCACCAATTCATATAATGTGTACCCTAGCCAATCTTAAAAGTCATCCACCTTGAATCTTTAATTAACGTGTGTTTTTAAAACTGCATTATAAAAACGTTAGTGTTTTTATTTGGATCCTATGGAAGTTAGACTTTTTCATGCAAGCATTCAAACCATTCACTTCCAACAGAGCAGATAAATGGTCTGTATTATTTCATTACGTATAAAAAAAAGATTAAGCATGTCTCAGGCAGCTCAGACAAGGCAGATAAAAGATTATCAAGGAATAACATTAGAAACACTAATCAAAGTGCCTAAAAAGCTTTGTGTGATCCAGGTATTACGGGGCTGTTGCAACAGTAAAACAAAACTTTACAAGATATGAAGGGCTAGAGATAGGTAGCACAGAGCAGATTATGTCAGAGAAGTCTCTTCTAAAATTGTGTTGGATAGCCTGGGATTTGAACTTATGCCTTGTATGTGTGTCCGTGTGTCACAGGTTGAACATGCAAGAAGCAGTGTTCAAAAAGGTGGCAAACTTCTTTTACTTGTTTCTCAGTCTTTTCAGATCATTGCTTAGAAAACACTGATATATATGTACAGTAAATATTTTAAATATTAGCTAACCCTATTAAATTGTGTGTCCTTGTGCTGCAGTCATTTAATGACCCCATTCTCTTGTAAGTTGGCATATGATTTGAGATAACTCTAAGTGCTAATGGATTGTTTGAAGGAGTTAAAAGCAAAACCAGGAAGACAAAACTATTTTTAGGAAAAAGTGATCATACAACAGACAGGCCTTAAATAGAGGAATTGAGATATCTCTGTCTTTACTATGTAACCTTTAGCTAATCCCTCACGCATTCTGACCTCATGTTTCTTGTATGTAAATGAGAATGTTACAGGCTTGTAAATTCCTTTTCCTCTGTGACTACATCCAGTTTTATTTATATTATTGTGTGTTTGTGCATGTCAGTAGAGCACAGTATTTAGTAGAGTGAGTTCTTAGTTAAACCACCTGGATTCATTTGTAAAATGGGGCCACCTATCTCTTAAATTGTAATGAGGATTTGATTAGATAATCTAGATAAATCACTTAGCACAAGAGTCTCCAGCCCACAGACTACTGACCAGTACTGGTCTGTGGCCTGTTGGGAGCTGGGCTGCACAACAGGAGGTGAGCAGGGAGCAAGCTAGCATTATGGCCCGAGCTCCACCTCCTGTCAGATCAGTGGCAGCATCAGATACTGGGGAGCACGAACCCTGTTGTGAACTGTCCGTGTGAGGGATCTAGGTTTCCCACTTCTTAGGAGAATCTAATTAATGCCTGATGAGCTGAGGTGGAACAGCTTCTTGCCAAAACCATCTCATGAAACCAGTCCCTGCTGCCAAAATGGTTGGGGACCTCTGACTTACCTAACACATTACCTGGCATATACTAAGCACTCAGAAAATATTCCGTTTCTCAAAACTCAGTTCCAGTGTCAAGTTTTAATAGTATGTTGATCTTAGACCTCCAAGGTAAACTTGGTCCTCTCTTTGTGCCATAAATGTGCCTTGTACTCTGTAGTGCTAAATTGCTGTCACTAGTGCTAAATGTACCACTAATTTATCTGCGTGTCTACTTCTCAGATTGTGAACCTGTTGAGGACAGAGATGGACAGAGCCCCTTACTCATATTTATAAATTTTCTGGCATGATAAATATTTGCTGAAGGAATAAACTTGTATTCTTATTTTTAAGCAGGGTTTTCTCCCCATCTGAGTAGAAGACAGTCCAGGAGCAAAGGAAGTAGAAGTCTTCTCAAAAATCTGGCCACATTCTCAACCCACCCCACCCCTGCTTTTTTAAACAGCTATTTAATTGCCATTGTAATCCTAAGGATTGGATCAATTTTTCACCTTCCTTCATACTTTTTTCCTTTTAGTAAGAAAATAAAGTAATGAAGGGCCAAATGGAGAAAACTGTCCATTAAATATGAATTAATAAGTGCTATGATCAGAAATTGTGTAAAAGCAACATAATGGGACTATTAAACAGTATTATCTTTGAATCAGACACCTTGGATTTATTTTATTGACCTGCTACTTTCTAGTCATACAACAGTGATCAAGCTATATTACTTCTTTGGCTCAACAAAATAGGGATAATCTCTATTTCATGGCTTGTTATGATTGATGTGAAATATTCACACAAACTACCATGGTGCCTGGTAAGTAAAAGACACTCAGATATTTCTTGGAGTTACAGTTAATACTGTATCCTTTAAATCTGAGAAAAACCAACTTTTAAAAATCACATGTATACAGTTGTTTACTGCTAGAAATGGTATTTAATTAGTCGATAACCCTGGTTAGATAATGAAAAACAATAGTTTTATCTCCGTTATCCTAACGGATTGGGGAACAGGTGGCTTCCTTCTCTTACGCTCCTGCCGCCAAATTACCCGCTATCAGCTATGTTATAATGAAAACAGTTTCACACCAACTTCTTAATATACATGTATCTATATTAACTGAGTAAGAAAACTGATCTTACAGCATGTTCTGCAGGCTAAAGGAAATTGCTCTCAGCCCACTGAAGTGCCCAAACCACCGCCTTGCCTGAAAGATTAAGAAGTAGGATTCTATTACCTTAACAAAAGGTGTGTTCATGACTGGACAAAAACCTTTTATGGGGTTAGACTAGGACATTATCCCAAAATATAAGGGCTATAGGTCATGCTGGATTCTTAAGGCCTCTTCTTGCAATGGTGGGATGTGTTACTCTGCTATTAGTCAATCTGAAAACCTTTAATTTCACCATTGGAGGCCCATTTAAACAGCAGACCACTAATTTCTCTAACAATTTCTACCATTTAGTATGAAAATTAAAACATTGTGTATTGATCAAGATGCAGTAAACAGTACCTAGAATACCTTCCACTAGAGTATGCGTTCTCTGATTAGAACACTAGTTCATCCTCCTGGACTGTTCTATCAGAATGGTAGCAAGACTTAAGCAATGACTTTACATAAGTTACGTGTACCTCACTGTATATACTGGACTATTTCCATGTAAATTACAGACAACAGTTATATACTAGAAGCAATAAATAGCTAAGAAATGTCCATAGTTGACCAAAGACATATCAGGAATAATATTTGTTTTTGGAAACAGAACCAATGTTGCAGTGGCTTAAACTGTTGCACTTTTGCTTTTCTTTCAGATGTAGGCTGTCCAGGTGTCCAGTACTGTGACTCCACAACATCAGTGGAGTCTGTTCTTTATGATCCACTCTCTACCATGTAGAATGTGTCTTCAAGATCAAAAAATGGTGGCTATAGTGCTCACATTCCAGATAAGGAAGAATGGGCAAGAAACAAAAGATCCACTCCGAATGTGATGGCAAAATTAAGACTTGTGAGTGAAAAGTGGAAATTTGTCTTCGGTACCTACACACTGAAAGAAATGTTGAAGAGAGTTCTTCAAGAGGCACAAGCAGGTGATTCCAAGTTAAATCCTAGAATGCAGGAATAAATGAAGAGCAATGGAAATGGTAAATATGTGGCTAAATTTGAAGGAATATTGGATGTATTAAATTCTGAGGTTTAAAATACCTGTGGAATTAAAATGCACCTACAATAACAAGAGGCAGGAGAAGTTTGTACTAGAGTTTGTCCTCAGGTTCTGGCATTAGGTAGGTAAAATGGTAAAATTACTTTTTTTTAAGACTATGAAGACAAGCGTGCATGTTGTAATCTGTTAAGCACTAAAAGGCTAATAGAATGTATACCTAACAATTTAATGGAGGCAAAAAGTATTTAAAAGAAGGCAAGAACAAAAAAGGGAACATAAAACAGATGGGTCAAATTTAAAGTTGCAAAATATAAACACAAACACTTTAGATGAGTTATTACTTGAATTAAGGTTGAAAATTTATCAGGCTAAAAATTCCCTACTACATACTGCTTACAAGAGGCGTATTTAAATATAAGGCCATACAAAAATGTTGAATGTAAATGCATGGGGGGAAATATACAGTAAGCAAACCAAATAAAAACAGTTTGTGGTATTATCATGCAATGAGATTTAAGGCAAAAAGCATTCTTTTACAATGTTGAAGGAATTAATTCACCAAAACACATAAAGATCCTAAATCTGTATGTGTTGAAAACATTTCAAATATGTAAAGAAAGAATGACAAATAAGATGAGAAATAGGTAAGTCTCTAACCATAGTTGAAGGCTTACACAGCTTTTTCAATAGCTGATAGAATATCCAGACCCTCCCCCCAAAAAAATCAGATGTAAAATAATCGACATTTACATATATTGAATACTTGATTTAAAAAACATAATTCACATTTTCTTCAAGTAAATAATTTATGCAAATTTACTCTATGCTGAATCGTAAAGCAAACCAATCTCAAAAGTTCAAAAGCATTTATCTTACATTCTCTAACACAGTGAGATTAAACTAGAAAAAAACAGAGATGATTAGAGGAACCCCCAACTCCTTTGAAATTATGTCACAGATTTCTTGATAGTCCCTGGGTCAATGAATAAAACAAATTTCAAAATAATTTCGAGTGTATAATATGACATACCAAAACATGTGAGTTGCAGCTAAGCAGTGCATGAAGGAAATGTATAGACTTACTTGCATACATTAGAAAAGAAGCAAGGCTGAAAGTCAATGACCTAAACTATTTTCAAGAAGTTAGAAAAAGAAAAGCAAGGAAATAATAAAAGACTAAATGAAATAACACATAATAGAGAAAGTAAAAATATTGTTTCTTTGAAGTCTAAAAACAGTAATAATCTCTACCATTTAACACATTTGAGATATTAGCCAATAAAATAAGACCTGAAGTAAAAAGATACAATGTTTAGAAAGAAGAAAGTAATAGCATTTATAGACAACTGGTTATGTGCATAGAAATTTCAAAAGACTCAACAGACAAAATAATGAACTTATCAAGGTCACTGAATACAAACTATACAGAAATTGTATTTCTATATATCAGAAACAAATAGAAATTAATAAAAATTATACCATTCACACTAGCATAAAATAAATACCTACAATTTTTTTAATCATTTAAGAAATTTTAAAAATTCTAAATATATGGCTATACCATGTTCATGACTTGGCAGTTTTGTAAATTAATCTGTAACTTCAATATATGATATTATCAAAATCCCAACAGTATGCTGGAGAAATTGACAAACTGAAGAAATGCAAAGGACAGAGAATATCCAAGGTAAACTTGAACCACAAAACTGAAAAAGTTCACCAACAGACATAAGACCTGTGATCATAAAAGTATAGTTGTAATTAACACTGATGTTGCCTGGCATAAGATAGGCAAATAGATTAAAGTAACAGAATAGATAGAATTCTGTATATATGGTGATCCACACATTTAGGTCATCTGTGATTTATGAGAAAGGGAAACTATTGCAGTGGTACAGTCAATTAGATAGCTGTGTTGGGGGACAAACTAGACCCCTTCCTTGACACCATATATACAGAAAAATCAGTTCCATATGGAATATGGTTTAAATGAGAAAGGAAGTGATAAAACAGATATCTTCATACTTTGGGGTAGGCAACTGTTTAAAGGACATAAAGCATAAAGGAACATTTTAAAGTAATTTGTGGTGATAGAATCAGGGTAGAGGTTATCACTTGCCTGGCAAAATTGATCAATAAGAGAAAAACAACTTAGCCAAACACAGTGGCTCATGCCTGTAATCCTAACACTGGGACGCTGAGGCATGAGGATAACTTAAGGCCAGGAGTTCAAGACTAGCCTGGACAACATAGCGAGACCTTGTCTCCACAAAAATTTTAAAAATTAACTGGGTGTAGTGGCATGCACTTGTCATCCCAGTTACTTGGCAGGCTGGGACAGGAGGAATTTGAGCCCAGGAGTTCGAGGCTGCAGTGAGCTATAATTGTGTCAGCACACTCCAGCCTGGGCAACAGAGCGAGACCCTGCCTGTCTAAATGTTTTTTTATAAAAGACAACTTGGTATCAGGAAATAAATAAGACATGAAAGCATATGAAATTATTTGATTTAGAATGTTGTTAATTTATTCAGATATTTTTTGATGTGTGTTGCCAAATATATATTAATAAGTAAGTGTGAATCTATTTTTTAAAATCAACTCTGAATAATCCACAAGCTCTGGATGGTTTGTTAAACACATTCATTGTGACCAAGTAAGGATTATTTCCATATGGGAGAAGGATTTAACATTGGAAAATCTTTTCAGATAGTATATGCTATGTTAATAGAGTAAAGAGAAAAGGCATATTACTATCGCAGTGAATGCAGGGGGTTGGAGGGGAGAACCAGCAAAATGTAAGTTATATTCACTTAAGATTTTAAAAATAAAACAGCCTCTTAATAGATGCAAAAACATTATTAGTACAACAAATGATAGTGTACCAAAACTCATGGTTAATGTAACAAGCTAATGGTACAGCTTTAGAGATGTTCCTTCATGCCAGCAATAGTGCAGGAATGGGCTGTTGTATTAATACATCCGCTCTGTGTTGCACTGGAAGAAGAAATAATAGGCATAAGGATTGGAAAGGGAAAAACAGTTATTGTCAGTGGGCAAGATCATTGTTTGTTTGAAAGTCCAAGGAACACTACAAAGTAGTATATATAACTAATGTGAAAGTGGAGAGGCTTTGGATATAAGACCAATCTGCAAGAATTAGTAGTGTTCTTTTCCACTTCAAACAGTATGTTTCAAAGTGTATTATTTGAAAGAATTTCATTCACAATTAAAACTCTAGGGGACCTAATAATACATCCAATAAAAATATGCAAGCATTTTGTAAAAGTAGACTGAGTGGAGCAATATTATATGTTTGTGGATGGGAAAAATCAGTACATTAAAGCATCAATTCTCTCCAAATCTATAAATTCACTGAAGTTCCAATCAAATTCTCAACAAAACTGTTTATGGAATTTAATCAACCTAACCTAAATGTGGAAAGAAAAAGCTGACATTTTTTTTAAAAAGGGAAAATAAGGTTAGGGGAGTCCCTATCATAAAGGAAGGTAGGGAATATAAAACTATAGTGATAACACAGCCCTTGTGATGCAAGGATAGACATGTAAGTCTACGGCACAGAAACAGATACATGAGAACTTGATATGTGACAGAGTGGAGAAATGAGTAACTTTTCAATAAATGGCACTGGGACAATTGCATGTCCATATGTGAAAAAAATTATTTACCCTTCTCACACCGTATTTTTAAAAACTGGTAGATTAAAGACCTAAATGTGGGTGGGGGAAATACCATTTTAAATATTTTAGAAGGAAATGCAGGAAAATTTGAACCAACGTAAGGAAGGAGTTGTTGGTTTGACTCAAAAAAGTGGGAACCATGAAGAAAACGATTCACACATCTGACCGTATTAACACTAGAAATTTAAGTGTGACAAAAGACTAAATATTAGAAGGCCAGCCACAGACTTGCAAGGTACGCACTTTACAATTATCTACCAGTAACTAACAAAGGAAGTGTCCAAATTACATAAAGGACTTCTTAAGGGGGTGGCAATAAATGAGCAATATATGAGAGAGAACCAAAAGGTCAATTAACAGGAAAATGTTTTAGCTCACTAGTAGTCAAGGAAATGCCAGTCAGCACAGCCAGATAACATTTCACATCCAGTCAGATAATAGCAACGATTGGCAAACACGTTGACAAAACAATTCATACTTTAGTAAAGTTGAAATTATACATTGCTTATAACAGCAGTTCAACATCTGTGTTTTTACAAAAATAAAGTTTGCATCATATTTAGGTATAGAAATTGTCAGAACCCTTAAAGCTTATTGTAGCCATTTGTTGGAGGGAGACAGAAGACTGAATTGCTTTTTTCAAAAACTAGAAATCACATTGATGTAAAACAGAGCCTTAGCTTTAGAGACGGGGGAAAAAAAAACTCTCCAGTATTTTGCTAAATTTATCTACATTTATAGATATTAACAAATGCAGTTTGTAAACTACCAGTCTCCTACATTGGTCATATTTTGACAAGGCTTTTTTTTTTTTTTCCATAGCATTGACATTCATACAGAGGTTACAATTCAGATTAGGGGAACATATGTGTAATAAAACAATTTAACCAAAAAACTTTCTTTCTCTTTATGTGAAATAGCAGAAAAGCAACAGCAGTTTATTACTTATGCTAAAATATGTATGATACTTAAACTGAATATTTCTTGAGACCTTTGCTTCAATCTATTAGTATCTAATACAAAATTTTTATATTTAGTTCAATAAATCATAAATTCAGTTTTCTTAGACTGAAAATTATTATCTAAATAACTTTGGGGTTCTAGTGATTAGTTTTAGAGACTGATTTCCTTTTAAAGAGAATTGCCTATTTTATGTATGTCCAATTTTACATATTTCTGAAAGAAGATACCTCTGTCTTTGTTAATATATGGTGTATGTATACAGTGAAAAATGTACAAGGATGTTTCTTACAGCAGTTACTGAAATAGCAGGAAGAAAAAGGTAACTTAGAAGACATTTGGCACTAGAGTCTCCAGTCAGATCTACTCCCTGGCCCATAAGCTAAGAACATTTTTGACATGTGTATAAAAGGAGTGACTTAATAGATTTGGCATGCTGCAACCCTGCATCTTTGAAAGAAAAGTCTAGCCCTCCAGATCACCTGAGGTCAGAAGTTCAAGACCAGCCTGACCAACATGGGAGAAACCCTGTCTTTACTAAGAATACAAAATTAGCCAGGCTTGGTGGCACATGCCTGTAACCTCAGCTATTCAGGAGACTGAGGCAGGAGAATCGCTTGAACCCAGGAGTCAGAGGTTGCAGTGAGCCAAGATCATGCCATTGCACTCCAGCCTGGGCAACAAGAGTGAAACTCAATCTTTAAAGTAAAACCACATTGTAAAAAAAAAAAAAAAAAAAAATTGAAAGGTCTAGTCCTCAATTTACTCCTTACTCCTGGGAGATCACAAGCTAAGCTCTTGGAATACCCTGCGTGACAGAAGGCCTTTGTTTACCTGGGGCCTTTGATCACACCAGATAGCTGATGCTACAGATTTATGGTGGGGGCATTGCACCTTGAAGTAGCAATTTAATCTCTGGGGGAAGTAGAAACTGAATAACAGCTGCCATTTCCATTCTCCATGTCTGCGATTAATACAAAATAAAAACCTTGGACACCAAGTCTCAGCTTCTCTGGTTGATATTTCATAAATGACCCACATTCAGTCAGAGAGGATTAAATGTTGTGCATGCATCTCCTGTCAGGTGGGACAACTGGAAGCTTGCCCCTGCTCTGGAACTCTTTTCTATCTGCGTTTTAAAATCTTAGCTGGTTTTAAACTGTACTTTTGTTCTAATAAACTGCAATTGTCAACATAACCACTTTTCTGAGTTCTGTGAGTCATTGAACTGGACAGTGGTTTTGGGGACCCTGTCACAACTGTTTAAAGAACTGTTCTTTAAAAATCATATTTGACAGACTGTATGTTCTGCAAATCGTAAAATATTTGCTATTCGGTCCCTTATAGCAACAGTCCCCAACCCTTTTGGCACCAGGGACCAGTTTCGTGGAAAACAATTTTTTTATGAACAGGGGTAAGGGGGGAGGTTTCGGGATGAAACTGTTTCACCTCAGATCATCAGGCATTAGTTAGATTGTCATGAGGAGTGTGCAGCCTAGGTCCCTTGCATGTGCAATTCACAGGCCACTGCTGATCTGACAGGAGGTGGAGCTCAGGTGGTAATGCTTACTTGGCCATCACTTACCTCCTGCAGGGCAGCTTGGTTCCTAATAGGCATGACCAATACTGCTCCTCGGCCCAGGGGTTGGGGACCCCTAACTTACAGAGTACTTTTGCCAACACCTGCAGAAATATAATGAAAAAATAACTTTGTTTTATACATTGAAAACAGCTAAAATGGATGAATATTGATATGAATAAATCTCAAACTGTTGGGGAAAAAAGGAACAGAAGGCTGATACAGTGTATCATTTATGTAACAAAACAATTATGAAAAATGTATATACATTGAGAAAATCACAGTTTTATTTTCAACATAATAGAGGGGTGTGTGTGTGTGTGTATTTGTTTACAAATAATAAAGCATTGCCTTTGCAGGGGTTAGTTTTCTTTAGACTGGGGACAAGACATTAAATCCACCCCTGGTTTACAGTGGAGGCAATATATAGTTGACCTTTGAACACTGCTGGAGTTAGGGGTACCGATCCTAACCCCCACCTTGCCACCCCCTGAAAATCTGAGTATCACTTTTGACTGCCCTCAAATTTAACTACTTCTGTTGATTGGAAGCCTAACTGATAACAAATAGTCCATTAACACATATTTGGTATGCTGCAGGTGTTATATACTGTATTCTTAAAGTAAGCTAGGGAAAAGAATGTTATTAAGAAAATTGTAAGGAAGAGAAAATATATTTACTCTTCTTTAAGTGGAAATGGGTCATCATAAAGGTCTTCATCCTCATGTTCATGTTGAGTAGGCTGAGGAGGAGGAGAAAGGGGGGCTCGATCTAGCCGTTTCAGATGTGGTGGAAGAGGTAGGAAAGGAGGCAGGAGGAGCAAGGCACAGTTGGTGCAATTTTCATTTTTTTTAAATCCACATTCAAGTGGACCTGTGCATTTCAAACCCATGTTGTTGAAGCATGCACTAATTGAAATTTTCTTAAAAAAAATCTTGGTTATTTGTAGCAGCCACAAAAAACAGATCACCCTAAGTTTAGTGTCCACTGATATCTAAAAGACTTTAAGGGTATTACATTTTAAGTGCTATTAGAATCTTAAGTCATCATCAAACAAGAAAATGGATATTAAAATGCTTTGTAAACTGTAAGTTAAGGTAAAAGTGGTATTCCTGATGTTAACCACTCTAAACTGAACTTAGGTTTCTAGTATGTACCAGCTGGGGTGACATAGTGAGACCTGGTCTCTACAAAAAACTTAAAAAATTAGCCAGGCATGGTGGCACATCCCTACAGTCCTAGCTGCTCTGGAGGCTGAGGCGGGAAGATTGCTTGAGCACAGGAGATTGAGGCTGCAGTCAGCCACAGTCACACCCCTGCCCTGTAGCCTGGGCAACAGAAAAAGACCCTGTCTCAAAAATAAATAATAAATAGATTTCTAGTATATCGTGTTTAATGATACCTTCTCTACCTGCATTCCAAGAGTTGCTAGAAAAAACAAATGAGACAACATCCAAAAAAACCCCACAAAACCTTACCTTTAAAAGTGATAAAATACTATGCAAATTAGTCTTATAAAAAGTATTACTAGTACCTTGACTGTGATGACACTCATGCACCGTAATTATAATTGTGAAGGGAAAAAAACAATACTCACTTTGGTTTCCTGAGACAAGAGGTGAGCTGTGTGAGCTATGAATAAGGAAAACTAACTAACAGTCATATAGGTCTTTCCTTGTAGTCATGCCAGGTTAATTAAGGGATAAGAGAAGAATAGGACGTGGGTCCTGCCTTTTTTTTTTTTTTTTTTTTTTTTCAATTCAGCATTTACTGAGCATCTACTATTTGTCAGGTGGAGGAAAGCTAAGTACTTAAATATATTAACTGTCGTCCTCATTTGCCTGAAAAAGGATTATCCTTGTTTCTCATGTGAAAATCGAGATTCAGAGAAGTTTAGCTTAAAACCTAATAGCTTCTGAACTAGCATTTGAACCCGTATCTCTGACTGCTAAACATGTGTTTTACAGAACCAACAATAAGAAAACTAGGATCCAAGTGTTAACTAGTAAAGAGAAACAATTACTGTAGGAGACAAGGGAAGAATGCATTCATGTGGACAAGGAGCAGTTAGGGGAGGCTTCCCTGCAACAGATGGAGCACGAAAGAGGCCCTGAGAATAGGAATTTGGTAGGTATAGGAAAATAGCCATTGCTAGCAAAGGACAGTGATAGCTCCAGTTACCATTTACTGAGTTACCTGCCTAGGTGAGCCAGTGTGCCCGTCTTAGAAGATGAGAATATTCACACTGGCTGCCTCTGGCAACCTTTTGGTCCCAGGACAAGAAATAGGGGCGAGTGAATGGGAGAGTCATTAAGACAGCATGGAGAATTGAAGAAACCTGGAAATAATGGAAGATTCTAGTCATTTTCAGAACTCAAGAACAGGCCCAAGGTCTGGGTAAAGCCTGTAACATAACATACATAATTTTGTAAATGCACCATATCAGATAACTACTTAAGGATGTTTTGGATGGCAACTGATTTTTGTAAACTCATTTTAGAGTACTAGGTATTGGAGGGACGGAGATGGGGGTTGGAGAAACAGTGGAAGTAGACTTCAGAGGACCAGGTTACTATACCATTTCCCTTGAGGCAATTTCGGATTGTATGTATTATAAGAATGTATCGAGCCTCCGTCACCACATTTACCCTGCCTTCAGGGTTGTGGGTGTAAAATGATCAATATAAAAATACTGGAAGATAAAAAGATTGATGTAGATGACAGGTTTTATGGTCAAGCAGCATTGATGTTGCTACTGTAAAAAAGTGTAATAGAGAGTTTATCATAACATGATCTAATATGATTTTAAAGGCTTTTTTCTACCGTTGAAAGTTTTTTTTTTTTTTTGACAGAGGCGTCTCACTCTGTTGCCAGGTACCAGGCTGGAGTGCAGTGGCGCGATCTCGGCTCACTGCAATCTCCAGCTCCTGGGTTCAAGCAATTCTCCTGCCTCAGCCTCCTGAGTAGCTGGGACTACAGGCACGTGCCACCATGCCCAGCTAATTTTTGTATTTTTTAGTAGAGACAGGATTTCACCATTTTGGTCACGATGGTCTCGATCTCTTGACCTCGTGATCCGCCCGCCTCGGCCTCCCAAAGTGCTGGGATTACAGGCGTGAGCCACCGTGCCCGGCCACTTTGAAAGATTTTTAAGACAGATACTTATAACTTTTCTTCTGTGGGCAATAATTTTTAAGAAGAGCTAAATCCTTCCTGTAGCCAGACTTTGCAAGTGAAAGAGGAAACAAGCCAAGGGAACCTCACTTAGGATATAAGACACTCATAAGCATGGGTGTTGCAGCTGCCCCGTTGTCATGTTCTTAATGACACATTTAAAAAGTATAGATGGTGAATTCCCACGAAATATGTATTCTTTGCTGTTTACCAGGGTTAGGTAGGTATATGAGCCGCCAGATAAGTACGTTTCTGCATCTTCAGCGTGTCTGTGCCACATTGTGGTCACCTGTTTGGCAGTTTTGCAACATTTTAACCCATAATCTACCAACTAGTTTTATAGGGTTTTGTTTTGTGTAGTTTGTATTGTTAAAACAGTATACAGGTTTTCATGATCTAGATTGTTAATTACATTATTTTTCAAACTCATTCCCCTCCTCCTGTTGAGACTCACTGTCCTGTGGGGAATGAGAAGAAAAACAAGACACTCTGTCACTCAATCTGTCGAACATTGATATGAGAATTAGGTTCAGACCCCTTGGCTTAAGCACAGACATTTAATTATCTAAGCCAGTAGTTTTGAAATGTTTTTTATAGTGGAATCTACTCTTTAAAAAAAAATCATTCACCAAAGCCCAATATATAAAGAATATGAATGTGAACTCACCTGCTAAGCTGATTCCCTGGTTATTCCTTTTAGCGTAGGCACACAATTCTAAGCCCACTGACCTAAGCCCGCCTTCATTGTTATCCTCATCTCTGGCCATTAGCCTAAACAGGCTCTCCAGTATAGCCACGTTTAGTTCCCCACGTGTCCTGTTTTGTAATCCTGTGCCTTCATACATGCAGTTCTTCCATTGTGAATGCTTCATCCTCCTGCCACTTTATTTTGATGACATTTAATTGTCCTTGATGTAATCTTTTCCTAGAAATCTGCCCTGATGCCCTTGTCTGTGCTTCCTTTGCATTCATGTCATTCGTGATCATAGACTTTACTATACTGTAATAGGTAATTTACTTGTCTGACTCTCCCACACTGCAATAGTGTTCTTTTTGGAACATGTTCTTATTTGATATTCTGCCTCCAGTTCCAGGCCATAGTTGGTAATCAGTTACGTTGGTAATTGGATGAATGGATAGACTGACGAGCAGATGGACGGATGAAGGAATCTGCCAGCAGACCAAGTGAGTGAAGTGTCCCAGTGCCTTGAACTGAGAAAGAAAATAGAAGGAACTGAAAAAAGAGAATTCTCTTCATATGGCCAGCTGGATTGGGATTTGTCTGTGGGCTAAGAGTAGATCGGACATACTTCCCAGAATGCAGCCATCGCTGAGTTAGCCCTAGGGAACAGTCCAGCATGAGTCATATGCCTTCTCTCCATATCTGGTGCCCTATATTTATAGCTAATGCTGGTGGGTTTTCACTTGTTAAACAGCAAAAGAAAAATGATTGCATGAAGGCCAAACAAAAGACTAATGGAAGTGAGTTTAATAATTAATTTTTAAAAGGCTTACACATGACAGTTCAGCTGGGAAGTTATAGAAGCATTTAAGCTGAAATTTCAGCTACAGGATGCAGCTCTCTGGATTGTTCTTCTGGGGTTAAATGGGTAATTTGAAAGCTGGCAGGAAGAAGGGCAGTGATACTTGTTTGTCTACATTTTTTGTCTTTTAAATGGCAAAATAGCTCTTTGGAAAGAAGAGTGTTTTTCTTTTGTATGATACGAGATGGCAGAGTCAATGAAATGTGGAATTGAATGAACTAGAAGCTGCATTACTTAATATATACTGATTGTATAGCACAGGTTTCAAAATCATTTAGTTAATATTTAAGCTTCCTTTTCCTTATAACTTAATTGGCACATTACTGCACCCAGACAATTACCATAGAAGCAAAACATTCTATGGAGGTTTTCTACCTAAATTTTCCTTTCCATATATACTTTTATTGAAGGGTCTAAATGTATTCTCAATAAATGGTTGACAAAATTAAATTTATAAGTGCAGGAATTCCGCTATATGAGACAGAAAATAAAAATTGCATTTATTGAGCATGTACCATGTCCAGAACACCAGTAGGCCTTTATTTCATGAGGTATCTCAGGAAACCTTCACAACTACCCTAAAATGCTACCCTCATTTTCAGACAAAGAAACAGTCTTTAAGAGGTTAGGCAGTTTTCCCATCCACACAGTTTGGACCAGGTACATGTGACTTAGTTATCTATTCTTTCCACTTCATTACTGTGTTGTGTTCCAATGGCCATGCAGTAAGAAACCTTGTTAACAGAGTCAAGTATGTAACAGGAACCAAGAAGAAGTGCCCTGAGATGTTAATCTCCTCCCCTCTAATTCTCTCGTTTCTCCTTGGAGAAGATGAGAAGACCTGCATCCTCTGTTTCCCTCTTCACTAATCTCTATTCAGTGCCCAGATTGATGTTATTTTATAAAAGATAATTTTCATTTCAATAGCAATTTAAGAGCCAACAAAAAAATTGCAAAATCTTATTTCATCCTCATTTTACAATGGAGAAACTAAAATCACGATAAATTTGTGATTTGCCCAAGGTTAATTAATAGCACAATGCTTTCCCCACCCCCAGAATTTCTCATTTCACATACCCTTTTTACTGCATCCTCAAGTGACAATATGTGGGGTTTATCTGTAAGGATGGAAGAGAATTTCACTCTCTTAAGTTCCATGTGTTGCTTCTCATATCCTGAGAAAAGTCTATCCTTCTAAAGCATGAGATTTATTAAGTACACAAAAATCTCTCCATATTCCACTGTAATTATCTGAATGTGCAGATACCACTCTGCATCTTGGGAGATTCCACAAATGGGTGTGGGAAAACACATACAAATAGTTAACCACTGTTACTCATTCCAAATGATATGAAGGTGGTCCTCAGCACAGTAGAGAAAGAAGGCTTAGAAATCTTCCCACTAAAAGGAAGCTTCTGGCCCACTTTTCTTCCTGTGGCTTCTTACCTAACTGCTACAAAAGCCCAT